GTTCGACAAAAAATATGGAACGACTTGGCACTGCATCGTTGGAAGAAACTTTGGAAGCTACGTGACTCACGGTAAGTTTGTAAAAAAGAGTCGATTTAAATTATTCATCTAGAATTCTAGATGAATTCAAGATGAATACAAGATGACGATATTTTATCTTAATTAAAATTAATATATATATATATATTTTATATAAAAATATTTATTTATTTATTTAATGTTATTAATTGTATAAACGCGTATATATTATTTATTTATTCATAATATTTATCAAATAACACTTATAACAGAAACCAAGCATTTCATCTACTTTTACATTGGACAAATCGCAATACTCCTGTTCAAATCCGGATAATATAATAGAAAAAAAAAAAAAAAAAAAAAAAAAACTTTTTTTATTTCGGAAGTTAACTTATCATTAATCCATTTTGTGCATATGATTTCATTAATATATTTCAAGGATTGTTTAAAGTAGAATATGATGTATGAAATTTATTTTGCTTCTCATCTTCTTCCTTGCTTGTAATAAAGAAATTTATATTATTAATATTTCCAATTGGAAATTTTTGATTTGATAAAATTCATATCATGTGAGTTTTTTTTCCAAATAATTGATTGTTTTTTATTTAAGCCTCTACCGCAATATTATTGAAGCCAAGTGGCAAATGCTTCATTATTAGGGGTCATCCTTCTATTGGATGAAATGTTCGAACTGTGGCACAGCATAGGTTCGCCACTTCGATGCTGTGCACTGTTTATATATGTATGTATATTGAAAATCGAGTTACGCAAAATTGCTGTCAATGAAATTATTTGGCATATGAAATTGCTTATTGTTAACAAAGTAAGCAAGAATTGAAATGACGTAACCAGCAAAACAAGTTATATTGTGACATCGGCATTTATGTATTTATGTAACATCTACTTGCTGTGCCTGAAAAAAAAGGTGCATAAAAAAAAAAAAATTTCTTCGCAAAGCTTTCGCAACAAATTTCTTTTTCTTTCCGTATCGTCGACTGTTTAATTCGTTCCATTCGTTTCTTACTAAATAATTTTCATTTATTTGTAAGCCGTATTTTCTATCGAAAACCCTTCAAAGAGTTTAAAAAGATGTCACCCTCTCAACCATATAAATATAAACATCCTTCCAATTGGAAGGATTTCCCAATACCACCAAAAGGTTTCGAAGAATTGAACAACGCATACACCTCTGGAGACTACACTACTGCTATCAAATTTCTTAATTCTTTATTACCAAATCTTTCTGATCAAAACACTAAACGTTACGAAGCACGAGAACATATTTTTCTGTCGCGTGCTTTGTGTTTTCAACAAATGCGAGAACATCATCAAGTTGTATCGGAAACCACCGAAGTAGTAAAGATTGCCGCAAAAACGGTTGCCTCAACTTCTAGCCTACCTTTAGACGATCTCTCGGTTGATTCCGAAGACTTCTCGTTTTGTTTAATTCTGGCATTATGGCTTCGAAGCTTGGCATTTGAATCACTCGAGAGTTGGGAGCGTGCCAAAAATGATCTTGACACATTGAAAACTCTAATATTCGAGAAAAACAGAGATAATATGATCCCTTTCAAAACGGAAGGGGTACTTTCAGTTTTTTTACCTCACATGATTCCATTAATAGCACAATTTAAATTTAATTCTATTTTAATCAATCTACATTGTGTTAATGATCGTCAACGACGTATGAAGGATTTAGTTGCGAAAGAAGCCGCAAGACGCAACGATGGTCGCAAGGCATTTCGCTTAATAGATAGGGATGCGGGATGTCTTGATGAAATCGCGAAGAAATTCCACTATCGCTTGCTGCTGCGAAGACCGTTACATCCCAACATCCATGTGAATATGTGGTATACGTTAGATTTAATGTTTGTCAGTGAAGTGGGATTATTTAGAAAAGAAGACTTATATGGAGTTCAAGGTTATGCATTAGGATGCAAGTTGCTGGAAATTGGTAATATTGATGAAGGATCAGAAAAAGAAAAGTGTGAAGTTCAAGTTCGTCCAATGAGTGCAGAATCTCGTGAATGGAGCGATTGCGCTGATGCAGATTGGGCTGGGGTACAAAACGGGGGTAAAGGAGGGTTGGAGTTTCGGATAGTAAGGTCGATAAAACACGTAGATTCCAATGGATGTAACGAATTTAATAAATTCAATTGTTCTTCCGGTGAATCTAATATATTAAGCAAATCTGAAGGTTCTAATGGGAATTCAAGTGACAAACTTTGGCGAAAAGATTCTTCTTCCAAAACATCTCTCAAACAATTATACTTGTATGTCTATCCTATTCAAGAAGTTATTAATAGAAGTGACGAAGTTTTAAACTATGATATTAAAGACGATAGCGTTAAGGATGATAATACCGTGAATGGAAATAATAAAGGGTTAAATCGATGTGTACATGAAAATTACCTTGTACCCCTGAGTATTGGTCCTATTCGTCTTGTTACTTGTGAAGCGTATTCTAGTTCTTGCGTCCATCACTTACCACCAAGTGGACCCAATGAAAATAATGATGATGCTATTCAATCTAATAATCTTTCATGGGATTCAAAACAGAGAACTACTTTAGTGTCTCTTCGTAAAAAAAGTCCTTGGAATATTGATGATTATCTTGTTGATAGTTACCGAGGTTTCGTTTTGCCAAATGGAAAGTATTTGATAATTAAGGAATTGTGGGATGCTGGAATTCCTGGAAAAGTGTGGGATTCTGCATTCATTATTGTTCAAATGATTAAGGATATGATTTTTAAGGATCAAAACTTTTTTACTGGAAAGAGGATTTTGGATTTGTCGGCGGGAACCGGATTTGTCGGTTTATATTTGGCTGCATTTTTATCTTCTGGAAGACCGGAAGAAACCATGAATAATTCAACAACTAATATTATAATAACCGACTTGGAGCACGCGTTAAAATTAATCCGTGGTAACTTGGCGTTGAATCAATATATCTTGGATTCCTGTAATAAAGTGAAAATTGATGTAAAAGTATTACAATGGGGAGATATGCCGAGTATAAGAAAATTGGAAATTCTCGATTACGTCTTTGCTTCAGACGTCGTGTATGAACCTGGTAGGTGACCCTTATGACTCCCATAAACTTATTAATATTAAGTGATTCCCTTTTTCTTTTTATGTAGAATCATTTGATACCCTTATTCAAACCTTTATAGCCGTGTGTACTCCAGGCCGTACAAAGATATATCTTGGATACAAAAGGAGAGGATTAAATAAAGACGAAGAAGGTCGTTTTTTTGACAAATTGAAAACCGTGTTTCAAATGACTGCGGTTCAAGGATTGGGAATTCTGGCCGAAGAGGGGAAAGTAAATGTTTATGAACTAATTAGAAAATGATCTCATCACATCATGGTACTTGATATTTGTAAGGAGTTGGCGTGTCTCATGATTCTCAAGAAAATTTTTAATTAACTAATTTTTATTTTGCCTTCATAATTTAGGTTTTGATGTTATATGCTTACTGGAATTTTAAGAGTTTAATTTAGCTCCATGAAATCTAATTTTTATACAAAATATTTCTTTCGATCCATTTGGCTAGAAATAACATAATTTAAATCTTGACGCAATCTTTTCATCACCCTTTTTTTTTTTGAAAAATTATCTATTTGTACCGAGTATATATATTTAAAACTCTACTCGAGCATTATTTTATTATCCTTAAAAAAATTTTTTTTTTGGCTGAATTCCGAATTGGATGGTAAAATTTTGGGGCGGAATTAGAAGTCTCACTTTTTGGGATGCCATGTTGCGCCACAGAATATGATCTATAAATAAATCTTTTTAAATTTTGGTGGGATCCTTAAAAATGAATTCCCATAATTAATCCTTATTTGGATCCTAAAGAAATGTTTGTAATTATATTATTATATTGCAATCTATAAACGGTATAGGTATTATGCAATTAGCGAAAAAGATCATTGTAAAATTTCCATTCTTTTCATTTGATTGCGTGAAAAAGTAACCAATGGTTACAATATTTTCTTATCAATAGAAACAATTCTATTATTATAACGCCCCAATTCCCCATTGATATTTAATTAAATTCGCGTTTTTTTTTCTTTCTTTCTTTTTTTTTCGCTCTGATTTGAAGAGTTAAAGGAAGGTTCCTGCAAAGCTTTTGAGTGTTTGCATAACATAAAAAAATCCTTGATCCGGGCTAAAAGTGATTTCGATTTCCGGATCACAATATCACATGATTTGAAAAAAATTTTTTTCCATTACTTTTGATAATGATTGGCGTAACGTTGTAGTACTAAACCCAGCCCACTTCCTTTTTTGGGTTTGTGCCGTTTTCTGCTTATCTGTTGTGAACATATCATAAAAACTCTTATTTTTCCTAATTGAATGATACTGCAAGTGCTTGCACTTCGGCTTTATTTTTCATAACTTTCAAAGGTTTTTTTTTTTTTTTTTCTTCTTCCTCTTTCTCCAAAAATAATAATAATCATAATAATTATAATAATAATAATAATAAACGAGCGAGATTCCAACTAACGAACTCAAAAAGGTGGGTAAATAATTCTTTATCGTGTATATATATATATATATGTCACTAACCTAATTAATAAATTATTTTTTATTTATTTATTTTGTATTTTTTTTTTTTTTTTTTTTTCTTTTTTCTTGAACTCTCACGTATATTTAAAAAACATATTTTTATAAATATAAATATATATCTATTTACTTTTTTGTTTGTTTTTTTCTCATCTTTAAAATCTTGGTGTCTTTTGTTTATTTAAACCCACTTTATAAATATATAAATATATTTAAAAATATATTTCATAAAAAAAAAAAAAAAAATTTAGTTCTAAAAAAAAATTAACTACATTTTTTTTTTTTATTTTATTTTTATTATTTTTTTTTATTTTTATTAATATCATTCTAAGGTAAAAAAGGGGGACAGAAATTTAATAATATATACACACCCATATAATAATAATAATAATAAAAAAAAAAAGGAATGGGTGGAAAAAATAGTCTTGAAGCATTAAATGCTATTTCTGAAGACGAATGTGCAACAATTATAAGTGAAGATTCTGAAGCAGAAAAAGAAAGAATTGGATATTCAAGTCAAATAGAAGATAAGAAAGATGACATAAATATGAATGAAAATAAGGGCAAACGTGGTAGATCTCACCCATCTTTTGAAGGCGATTATAACGATTTCGATGATGGTTCGGAATTAAGTTCGGTGGGCTCAAAAGACGATGATATGGATAGTGATAGTGAATATAAAGAGGAGGAGGAAGATGATGATTCAGCAAGAGCTGGGCCAAGTAGAACTGCACAACCAAAAAGAAGAGGTCGCCCAGCAAAAAAACAACAACTTTCTAAAGATAGTGATGATGAGGATGATTATAAATCTATAGAATATGCCGTACCTAGAAAAAATAGTGTAGTTGGTAAAACAGTTGGCAAACCTAGAGGAAGGAAACCAGGAAAACCGGGAAGGCCGGCTGCACAAAAAAGTAAACCTGGTAGAAAAAAAAATCCGGTAAAACCCATTATCAATGAAGAAGATAATAATAATGGTACACAACAAAATAAGAGGAGAACTGGTGGTAGACGGAAAGATATCGATGAAAATGATGTCTATGCTAGAGACAGAGCAGGACAAACTAATTTGCATCGTGCTTGTCAAGTAGGAAATTTAGAAAAAGTTGTAGATTTAATAAATAGAGGCTCTGACATAAATGCTCAAGATCATGCAGGCTGGACATCCCTTCATGAAGCTGCCTTGGCTGGTTATTTGGAGATTGTTCAATACCTTTTAGAACAGGGTGCGGAAGTAAATGCTGCTTCATTTGAAGATGGTGACACACCTTTACATGACGCAAGTGCTAAAGGTCATGCAGAAGTTGTCTGGGCTTTAATGCAATATGGTGCAGATCCTGAAAAAACAAATGTAAAAGAGGAAAAACCCGAAGATCACGCAACGGATGATCGCGTAATAGATTATTTGAGGACATCTGTTGAAATTGTCAGAACTCCTGTGTATCAAACTAATAAACAAGGACAATTACAGGATAAAAAGCCAAAGGATGAAGGTAACAGTCGAATTAGTGATTCAATATTACCTAGAAATCAAAGGAAGAGATCGCATTTTATGAGGACCTTTCAACCTTCAAAAGAGCAAGAGACAAAAAAACAATCGAGCGGGGGAAAACGTGGAAGGCCACGTATCAGACGTGATGATAATAGCAGTGATAACTTAAGGTCTAATATTTATCCGACAGGTACCAGAAGACGTTCATTTAGAGACGGTAGAAAGTTAAATGGTGAAACACATAATAACGGTGCAAGAGCGTTTACCTCGGCAAATGATGTTTTGAGAATGGACCTCAGATTTAAAGATCCATCAACCGGTCGAACGAACCTTCACTTGAACGCAAAGCGCGGTAATAGTGAAATGGTTGCAAACATGATCGAGGCTGGGGCTCTAATTAATGCTAAAGATCATAATGGTCGGACCGCTTTGCATGAGGCAGCTTATGAAGGTCATACTACTACTGTTGAAATACTAATAGCTTTAGGTGCGGATGTTAATATCAAAGATCACAAACAACATACTCCACTTCATGATGCATCTCATAAAGGTCATGGTGACGTTGTAAATATTCTATTGACCAATAATGCTAAACCTGACGATAAAAATATTGATGGTAAAACTCCACTTGATATGGCTCGTAGAAGAAGAGATATTGTGGAATTACTCTGTGATTCCCTTGAATTGGATCCCGATGAATATTCGGGTACCCAAACCGACAACACACCAAATCAGATGAGAATTGAGTCAGATGAAGAGGAAGATGATGATGATGACAGGATTTTATCAGGCGAAGAATCTTCCGAAGAGTCGTCAATACCAAACACTAAAAAAATAAAAGTGAATCATATTATAAATACAGATTTGGAACCAATGGAACTAGTTAATGTTCAGGAAAATCCAATTCTTAAAATATCCAACAATGATGTCGGTCCATTTTATACGGTACAACTAGTCACAGATCGTCCAGGATTTCCAATAGCTGCAACCGCCGAACCTTCAAGTTCTCCTTTGTTCGTTGTCGATTTCCAAGTGGAACTGTTTTTACAATACCCATTATCCACTTTATTGGAAAAACATCCAAATCTAGTTCAAAGAGAAGTTACCTCTATAGAAAAGGAAAGATTATGGCCTTGTCTTCGTTCAATTGTATGGGTTCCACCGAAATGTAAACGTCCTTCAGAACTTGGAGCATTAGAAGCAGTACAGAGAGAGAGATTCCTAATACATAAAATGCATTTTGTAAAGGTAGGTTTTGAAATTTTACAAGCATCATATAAGGCATAAATACTTCAAAAAATTAAATTTTAAAATCTCTTTTTCTTCCGATGAGTTTAGTTTGATCAGATTATCGAGGTTGCTAATCTTCCCCAAGAGGTTATACCTCCGACAATACCGTTGGATATATCAGATTACACAAACAATGAGATGGAAGACTCCGATGATTTAAATTGTGACATAGATGATAAGAATAATTGTAATGCTATGGATATTGACTTTGCATCCAAATTACCACTTACACCAACTTCACCAACCACACCCCAATCCCAATGGGCTGTTTCCATGACGGAGACAAATCCAATACAGTCAAAGATCAAGAATAGTCAACTCAAGACTTCATCTGGGATAATAAAAAGAAGTTACTTCAATCCTTCGCTTAAATTAGAATTAAAAGTTGGATCAATAGAGAACTTGAATAAATAAGAGACTATCTGAGTTAGAATATGTGTAATTTGAAAGTTGACAAATTGTTTTCCTTTGTTGCGGTTGGTTTAATTTCTACTTTGTAAAAAAAAAAAGGTACTCTGTGAACGTCCAAGGCCAAAGACTTCTTTTGGTTCATTATGGAAAGTTTGAATATATAAATATTTTTATAAAATAAACCCAATTATTTCACGGGTTTATTTTGATTTTTTGACAAAAAAGCTGGCTTATTCAAAAAAAAAATTGTTCCTGCAAAAAAAAAAAAAAAAAAAATATATTTAATTCAGTAGACATGATTCGGATGGGGTTTTTGAGCGCGATTTTCTGTGATTATTTTCATATCGTGTTGAAATTATGTCGATAATTGAGAAAAAAATGGGAAATAACCAAGAAACTTATGACAAATCTTATGTTTTCTTATCTAAACGGTTTCCCTTATGGTACTTTCTGCATTGGTTTTTGTCACTTGTTGCATATAGCTAAGATTTTTAACGATGTCCGTTTATAATTCCTTTATTATATAATTTGAGAGTTAAAAAAAAAAATTGGATTTTAGTTTTACTGCCGTCTTATTGGAATTTTAATGAAAAAAAAAGACCGAGGGAATTCTTTACTTAGCTTAATTTATTATTCTAATAGCAGTAATAATAATATGTAATGAATATATGGTTTGGTTGACGCAGCTCCGGACCAAATCGATCAGTCGATTGCAGGTTGGGATTTATTAAAAAAGTGCAGTAGTAATCAATGAATTATTGCAGTTGTTATCTAGATAAAAAAAAAGAATATTTATTTTAATATAGAAATTATTTTTTTTTTTTTTTTTTTTTTTAAAAAAAAAAATCTGTATTATTAGTTTTTTTCCCTTTTATTTATTGTTTTCTTCTTTTCCTTCCGTTTTGTTTATTTTTTTCTTAGAAAAACAACCTATTTTAAAAAGTTACAGCAGAAATATTATAGAATTAAAGGAGGATGGGATCTGTCTGATTCGAGATTTTTGTTTGTGGGGTTTTTTAAAAAAAAAATTTATTTATTCTCTTTTTTTTTTTAAAAAAAAAAAATAATGTAAAATTTTAGATTTTGTTTATTTTATTTTTATTTTCCTTTCTCGTGTCATTAAAAAAAAAAGCAATTGCATAAAAAATTTCTTTAAAAATCTTTGTGAATAAAAAAGTTAAAATGTATAAAAATCTTGACAAGAGTTAATTGAAGAATTTTTGTTAATGAAGAACAAAGAATACCTAAATAAACTTTTTCATCATATTTATCACGTTTGTGATGTAATTACTTTACATTTTGAAATCCGATGTGAGGTTTTTTTCAAGAACGCATAATGTTATAATTTCTTGGAGAGATGAGAAATGAAAAAAGAAATGAAAAAAAAAAAATTGTCAAGTATGTGATAAAATTTCTAAAGAAAAAAGATTATGCGGCTGTGTTTGAGGTTGAGTATTTTGTGTCTCGGAGAAATCATCAATTCATCGACTCATTTTCTTATTGGCGGGATAAACGGAATAGATTCCATCACAAACCAGTTAAATAGATCGAGACAACACTCGTTCAATAAAGGATTGTGGAATTTCGAACAAATCATTGAGAGACAGATAAAAGAGAGGCTTTTGTATTCAATTTTACTTTTCAATCTGGTTTAACATCGCTTTTGTTTGGTACATCTCTCTGCCTTTATGAAACCTGATATCAACTTCCACGTGATTAACAATAGTGGAGACGACTTGAAATAAAGTTTAGTACTGGAAGTGAAGTTCTTTTTATTATTAATAACTAGCCGTGATTTAAACGAAACTCAGAAATTGAATTTTTGGTACACGTGTTTGTTCTCTATGCCCAAATTAAGCAAATTATTACCTAAAATCAATTTCGTTCAATAAATTGAATGTGCTAAATTAAATTAATGATATTCGAAGATCCGTTATTCTGATTTCTTTTCTTTACAAGTTCACTGGTTTCTTTAATAAAAAAAAAAAAAAAAAAAGAAATTTCCCAATTTATTTATGAGAACACGAATAAAAAGAAAATATGCGGTGTAGCATGGTTAAGGGTTTGCGCAGTATTTTATTACGCCAACCATGATATCACAAAAACATAAACTTAGTAATATAGTTAGGTGAATTTTTTTTTATTTGAGGGACATAATTAAAGTTTCGGGCCTTTTTTTTGTTGTAAAAAAAAAAAGTATTGTTGACGCCGTGCAAAAAGAGGTCAAAAAATCGAATAAGTTTCATTATGAATCAGGGTATTTCTTATTATTGATCATTTATTATTTAATTTATTATTATATTACTTTTTTTAAAAAATCTTAAACGGTTTTTATTATCTTATCACTCTCTCTTTTTAACTATTACCATATTCAATCTGTAATAAAAAGCTTATATGTCGTTTATTGGAAGTACCGAACCTCCTAATCAATTAGATAAAGAAATCTCTGTGGTTGACTTGGTCGCATCCCATGACTGGTCCTCTACTCCATTGGGTCCTATGGAAACATGGGATTCTACTCTCAAATCCACTGTGGTAATTTTTTCAATGGATAATAATTTTTCTTGGACGTCTTTACTTGATATAGATCCATTGTAATTTTACCTTAATTTAGAATTTATGTCTACACTCAGTTTTTCCGATAGCGATATACTATGGTCCCGAGTTCGTCTCTATATATAACCAAAGTAACGTCATTATCAAGTTGACTCATCTTGTTAAATTTTCCGAGTTAATTAATTTCATAATTTCGTTCTTAAATATTCCCATTCCATATAGTGTGGAGACCGATATTAAAAATGAAACATCCTCAAGGTTGGTCCTTGGTACGATGTCATGTGAATTTCTGATTATTTTTTTTTGATATATCTTTTTTTTTTTTTTTATTTAGCATTGGGTAAGCCATTCAAAGAAGTGTGGCCAGAAACCCATCATACAACCGAACCGATATTTAATGAGTACATTTCTTCATTACAAAGAAATTTTTGATATTCGTTCATTTCTACAATTCATATCGAATGTTAATTATTCAATTCTGTAATTAGAGTAATGGCTACACGCAAAGGGAGATTTGAAAATGATATGCTTTTTGTAACTGATAGAGATGGTTACGTTGAAGAGACATATGCTTCATTCACATTAAGTCCAATCTTTAAAGAAGATGGATCAATGGGTGGTATATTAAACGCAAGTCAAGAGACTACACAGAGAGTCTTGGCAAATAGGCGACTCAAAGCTCTGACGGAGTTAGGCAATAAGACTCCAGGTGATTTAACAAATGATGATTTATAAGGCCCCGATTATTTTTTTTTTTTGTGTTCACGTGATTAATGCTAATCATTCACATAGGAGCGAAATCAGTTAAGGATGCATGTCATTTAATAACACAAACAATACGCAACAATAATGCCGATATGCCTTATGCCTTAATTTATCTTATAGAAAATCATTCCGCAACTTCAAACACACCCTCAACTGATACTCCGAAAGCCCATTTAGTTGCCACAACATTCGACGAAGGTTTAGATCTTCAAAAAGTTGATGGATTTGATGAAATATGTGTTGCACAAGATAAATTAAGGCGTTTTTTACCGGACTTTTTGTTGGATACTGAAGAAATAGTTGACTTGGCAAATGTTACTGATGAGATTGACGAATTAATAAAAAGTGATGGCAATATAATAAAGTCTACTGTTTATATTAAACCGGGCAAATCAAATGCTTTATCGTCTGGTTTGGATAATGATCCAAAGTTTTGTACGCTGTTCGAAACTGGAGAGAAAATTATCACTAGTCCAGATTTCTCTTCAAGTTGGCCTTTACAATATGTTGCAAGAACAAATTTACATATCACCGTGACATTGAAAGATTATACGCATGCTGTGTTGTTTCCGGTGAAAAATACAACAGGTGATTTGACTGCTATCATTATTATTGGAATTAATAAACAGAGAGCGCTTGATAAAGAATATATGGAATTCTTGCACGTACGAAATTTTAATTTTGAACTCGAAACGACTCCTTTTTAATTTGTTGGCCACGTGATATAATATATTAATTTTATGGTGCGTGTAGCTCGTAATAGGTCAAGTAAGTGCAAGTCTTTCGCATGGTAGATTTAGAGAAGAGGAACGTAAACAAGCTGAGATGCTTGCAAGTCTGAATGATCAAAAAATCTTATTCTTTCAAAACATTTCTCACGAATTACGTAGTAAGTATTATAAATATTAATAATATTCTATATATACATATTATATATATATCTGTATAATATATTTTTTTCTTTGAATTTTATTAATTACTTGAATAATTTGAAAAATGTTCAGCACCGCTTACACTCATGTTATCTCCACTCGAAGAAGTGTTGGAAGAGTGCCCTCGTGATGCACCCATGTATTCGCATTTGTGTATGATACAACGAAATACGAGACGTCTGCTCAGATTAGTCAATACGTTGTTACAGGTAAAATAGATTGAATTGGTTCTAAATTTAAAGTTTACGTTAATTAAATCCAAACAATTTTTTATTTGATAGTTTTCACGTATTGAATCTGATAAAATAGAAGCAAACTATCATGAAGTTGATATTGGACAATTAACATCGGAATTAGCGGCTAATTTTGAAAGTATGGCTAAATTATTTAAATTGGAGTATCGAGTGGAAATACCCGATAATTTTGATAGTAGGTTGGAAAAAAAAGTTTTTGTCGACTTGGAAATGTATGAAAAAATAATCTTCAATTTATGTAAGTATTTCAAATTTTTTTTTTTTTTTTTAATGCGCTTTTTATGTATGTACATACACAGCAATAAATTATTCTTATTATGGTAGGTTCGAATGCTTTCAAACACACATGGAATGGTAGTATCACTTTAAGATTAGATGCTGATAGGAAGGACAATAAAGAAGTTGTCGTACTGGAAGTTACTGATACGGGTATGTTGATGTTATTTCCTTCGGATCATCGATTATCATTATGCTTACGTGACTTATTATGCTGTAGGGGTAGGAATTTCTGAAGAAGAAATTCCAAACCTATTCCAAAGATTTTATCGAATAAAATCACGTCAATCTCGTTGTCACGAAGGAACTGGTATAGGATTAGCATTGGTAAAAGAACTTACTTCACTTCATGGGGGCGACATCTCGTGCACGTCGGTTTTAGATCGAGGTACAACATTCAAGATATGTCTTCCAACCGGACATGAACATTTGGTATCGAAAAGAATTTTCTTCCGAGATGACCTTAATAAAGGAAAGGGATTGTTAACTTTGGATCGAAATAATATATTGTTTGACAATAAACAATTATATCTTGATGAAAGTCTACAATGGATTCAAAATAATGATCGGGAATTTGAAGAAAATGAAAATGAACAGGATACAGAAAATGATATGAATATAGATTCTGATAATGGAAAGATTGGAGATAATTACAACGATGAATATAAGGAATTGATCTTGGAGAGTAAAGAAAAATATTTTCCTCATACCATTGAAGATCCTATCCCTTTGATTAACTCGAAGCATGTAGTGTTGTTGGTCGATGATAATGCTGACATGCGAAATTATCTTATTGGATTGTTGCAAAAAGAATATACGGTTTATAGCGCATTCGATGGACGTGACGCTCTCAGATTATTAAAAAGATTAAAGTGTCCACCTGACTTAATTCTGAGTGGTATGATATTTTTCAATCAATGTTTTTCGTGTTAAATCTTATCATTTTCTAAATTAACTTTATATTATATATATATATATCAATATATAGATATATTGATGCCTAATATGAATGGATATGAACTGCTAAAAAATATTAGAAATAATAATGCAACTCAATCAATTCCTGTGATCCTTTTATCTGCCAAGGCTGAGGAAGGAGATAGCATAATAGGTAATTTATATATATATACGTGAAAGATAAGTAATTGACAATGAATTTATCCTAAATCTTTTTCCTTGTTGCGTTATTATTTTTATTAAAGGCTTGGACAAAGGAGCGAGTGATTATTTAACAAAACCATTTAGTGCACGGGAGCTTATGGCGAGAGTTCGTGTAAACATTAAACTTTCTTATCTACGTCAACAACTTTTCCTACATCAATATCATCAGGCGGAGACAAAACAACTTTTATTTTCCATCTCAAATAAAATTCATTCCGGATATAATTTAAAAGAGACCCTTTCATCGGCTGTTGAAGAGATACATAATATATTACCATCCGATAGATTATTCGTAGTAGCCAATGAACAATATGAAGGGGGTAATGATGTCATTGTGGCATTTTCAGCTAAAGATAAAAATGAAAAAAATTTGGAAGGAAATATTGTAAAGTATACCTCGGAGCAAATTAAAAAACAAAGTGATCCAGCACTTTTCGGAAAAGGTGATATTGGAAAAAAAGGAATGCTATGCAGTTCTTGCGGCGGAAGCAAGTTAGACGATCACTTTTTAATTGCTAATAAAACCTTATCAGAAATAGAAAATGAAAATAAGTTTATTGAACCCGGTTCACAAATATCCGCAATTGAGAATATGGTGCAACATTCCGATCATAAGGATTTGGAAATTGCCATAATACCGAAATTCTATTCATTTATCGTACAAAAACATGTATCATTATTGGCCGTGGCTATAATAGTAAATAATTCAATTTGGGGGTGGATCAAAGCACATAGACTACCAAATCATAATTGGTTAGATTGGGAAAAAGAATTTTTACAACAAATTTCAAATCAAATAAGTTTAGCTATAACACATTCTAAATTATCAGAAGAAAAGTTGAAAAAAGATGCACAAATGGAAGCCGCTAAAGCTGCGAATGAAGCAAAGGGTCAGATCTTGGCTAACACTAGTCATGGTACGTAAAAAAGGAAGGAAGAAATTAAATGTTTTTGAAAAGGAAGAGTACAAGGAAACGATTTTACGCGTATTTAACACGAACATTTTTTCTTTAGAATTAAGAACGCCATTAGGGGCCATTATAGGAGTGTTATCGGCACTTGAAGAGACCCCGCTGACAGAAGATCAAAAGGATATGATTGACATAATGTCACGTGCATCTGACGTGGTACTCTCTGTAGTGAATGATATTCTAGACGCGGCAAAGATGGAAGCACAAAAGATTAAATTAATGAATCGAGCTTTTAATCTTTTTGATTTGGTAGAAAAAACAATTGAATTATTTGGTGAAAGAGCTGGTACTAAACAAATTGAATTGATATTGGATTGTGAACCAAATAAATTACCCAAATTTGTGATATCCGATCCGGAAAGGTAACCAAAGATACTTACAATCGAATAATATTCATTGTGAACTTATGATTAAACCTTGTCAATTTTTTTTTAAAAATAGATTACAGCAAGTATTGGTGAATCTGTTGTCTAATTCGTAAGTATTTCGTTCGAGTCATCACATAATTCCACGATTTGCTAATTCAAAAGGCTATGCTAATTTAGGATAAAATTCACTGATAACGGACAAATTGTATTTAAAATCTCAATTTCTTCATATGATGATGTGATTGAAGAGTCATCTGATGCATCTGCCGCATTTGAAGCAAAAGGACAAGAAATCAAGGGCAAGTCCAAGTTACTCGTTGAAATAGTTGATACCGGTATTGGGTAATTTGAACTAAAAAATATATATATATATATTAGATATTTTTAATTTCTCTTCACATAATTTCTAACAAAAATTCATATCACTTGTCTTTTTCAGAATCGAGCCAGCATTTATTAAAGTCATCTTTGATAGTTTTTCGCAAGGTGACGCGTCAATGACCCGAAGGCATGACGGTACAGGACTTGGTTTGTCCATATGTAAACATTTAGTGTCGATTAATGGAGGAGAATTAAGGGTACAAAGTGAACTTGGAAAAGGAAGCAAATTCTGGTTTACGTGGAATGTTGATCCTATAGCAATGACGGCCACACAAATAAGCTCAATGCCTCAAATTCCACAATCAACAACTTCATCGGACGATCCAACAAATTTAACATTTCCTTCAATGATACGATCCAAACGAGTTCTTGTTATATATTCAGTTGAAAACGCGAGACATTCTTTGGTGAAATTGATTAGTGCTAGTGTTGATAAAGTGGATGCTTTTGATACTTGTGAAGAAGGAATTAATAAAGCGAGACAATTAAAATCAGAACAAAATGGTTCACCATATGATTTAGTTTTCCTTAATGTATATTTAGAAACCGCGGACTCGGTTAAGAGTGCCGCGTTGCAATTAAGATCAATTTGTGGTCAAGATTTATCTATAGCCTTTTTGGTATTTTGGAGCGTTAAAGGAAGGGCCTTAGGAAAGGTTCTTATAAATCAAATAGGAGGACATGCGGCTGCGCTGTGTAAGCCTGTAATGCAAAAAAAATTATTTGATTGTTTGTATAATAATAGTTTATTTAAACAACAATCTGATGTTTCTGATACATCAGAATACGATATGAGGGAATATAATGCTATTAGATCTTTAGTCGATATCCGCACTGAAAAGTATTATTTTAATAACAAGCGCATAAATGACAAAGTTCCAATGACCATTGAGGCTGATGAGAACCATCATCGATCTCGCGGTGAAGATTTAAATGCGATGATTATTGATCAAGAATGTGTCATTAAAGATCAAAAGGTAAATTTAATTGAACCTCAAGTTTCTAACATAACTTCAACTGGCAAAGAAGCAAATGTTGTTATTGGTGTCAAAAGAAATGTGTGCGAAAAAAATGACAATAACCCACGTGCTCAGAAATCCAGGTCAAGGGCTATGTCTAAATCAAAGTGTATTTTATGCGTGGTAGGTTTTATTTTATTTTTTTTTTTTAAAAAAAAAAAGGTACAAGATTTTATTTGGTGTCTAAATAATTCTTTTTTATTATTACTGTTGTTCTTTCCTTTCTTTCCTTTTTTTTTTTTTTTTGAATAATAAAGGAAGATAATCCGATAAATCTAAAAGTTATTAAACATCAATTATCTAAACTTGGATATCCTACCTTATCGGCCACAAATGGACAAGAAGCCGTAAATTTAGTAGAGGCGGAATATGCGAAATTACCTTCGGATCATAACTCTAGTTCTAATCCACCCGAACCTCCATTAAGGATTTCTTTAATTTTAATGGATTGTGCTATGGTAAATACAATACTTGATAAAAAAATATTTTTTTATCTATATTTATTAAAAATTGTAATTTTTTCCTTTAGCCAATACTGTCAGGTTTTGATGCATCGAGAGCTATTAGAATGATGCAACCTCCAGCTTCGAATATACCTATAATAGCATTGACTGCTTCAGCGGTACAAGGAACTCGTGATAAGTGTCTCGAAAGTGGGATGAATGATTTTCTTACAAAACCACTTAGGATTCCTGAACTAAAAGAAATGTTAAATAAATGGCTTGGAAATGATGAATAAAAAAATTCACCGAAGAATTAGTTATGTCGGAGGCAAGGATTATATAACATATATTTTAATATTAATAATATACTTTATCGGAAATAGTTGTCTTGTATTTTCTTACCTTTAATTTAAAAAGAAAATTTTTGTAATTTTATAATTTTCACTATAATATCTTTTGATTCTAATATAAAAAAAAAAAAAGGGTCGTCAATTATGCTAAAAAACAATAACTTTGATAATCTATTGCTATGGACATTCACCTATTTTTAGACAAAAAAAATCACTTTCATTTTTTAAGTCGAAGATATTTATATGTATATATATATTTGCTTTTTCTTTATGTTCTTTTTTTTTTATTTATTTATTTATTTTTCAATCAAATTACCATTACGAATTCCAATCTTCCGTTTATCCTTTTTTTTAAAAAAATTTTAATGACGCTTTCACAATTAATTTTTCATTTATGAATAACCATTATTACATTTATGATTAGACACAAGAAGAAAAAAATCATTAAGAAATTTATTGTACAGCTTTTTTATATATCTATCGTCAAGTATATCAAGATAATTATGCAAATGGAATATTTAATAATAAATATATATAATTGATTTCCCTGTTGATTTTATTAATCAACCGAGGTATCTTTTGTAAGTATGCAATATCCAAAAATAATTTCATTCAATTGAACGTAAAATTCGGAAAAAATTTTATCACCATAATCATCGAAAGATGGTTCTCTTTTTAGTTTTCAATTTCATCTTTTTTTGGTTTGAAAAAAATTAAAAATGTTTCTACTTCCGTCAAATTTCGTTAAAAAAGATCAATAAAAGTTTAAATTTTCCTTATTCTAATTTTAAATCTTTGACCAATGGGTCTTGGCGCAATTACCTCCTATTAAAAGGAAACGAATACCTTTTTTTTTTTTTTTCTGGTTCACAAAAAAATACTTTTTCTAGTAAGTTTTAACTATTGTCGTAGTAGTGGAATTCAATATCAGAGAAAAGTTGACAAAAGAAGTAATGAAAACCCGACTTATGTCTTACAAGTGATTGATTATAAAGATTTGCTAAGAAAACGAAGAATACGCGAATCGAGTCCTATTAATACATTCATTGATGCATGATTCGTAGTTTTATAATTGTAAATGGAATTTATAGTTAGTCTATTGACAAATATTAATTTGATAATTCAGATATTAAAAATACAGATCAATATTAAAATGAAACTATCCATAGTCACACAAGACAAATCAAGCTTGCGTCACGAGCAATTCCCGAGCGTTTTTTTTTTTTTCGTTCATGAAATTGTCATTTATTTTCCATCTTTCGGACATTTGATAATCATTGATCTTTGAAGGCGTCTTTACTTTTACAAATATTACAAGTAAATGTGTGTGTGAAATGCTGAAAATCAGTTAGTTCATTACGTAATTATGCCTTATTGGTGTCACGTGTAAGCAATTTAATAGGTCTGAACAGTAATAAATATATTTTTAGCATCATTATTACTACATTATCTTTCCCGTTTCCAAATGCTTATATGCTCCTAGGATCGACATGGTTGGCATTGTGCCCAATTACACATTTTTTTCTAAAAATTTTCCGGATCAAATTTTTCATAAAATAAAAAATAAAAAAACCGTTTACAACTGGTCTTGTCTACGACTTTTTTGCCAAAATTTTCCTGCCACTTAGTCTTTTTTGTTACTTCAGCCCTTTGCTTTTAAATGTTATCAGTTGCAACTTCTTCTTTGTCCGCTTTGCCTTCTACTATAAGGGATTCCTTTTCTAGGAATACTTCAGATAGTGAACAATCTAAAGAAGGCACAACCGATCCTCCACAAAATACATTTCGTGATAAAATAGATTTAGGTAATACCAAACTTGACGAAGCCAGTGTAAACTCTTCACTTCCTACCCCCCCTCTAAGTTTCTCAACTCCAAAAGAAGAAAAACAACCCAAAATTGCTGTGGACGCTGAGCCGTCTACTACGTGGCAAGAAAACCTGGCAGGAACAGCAGAACCAACGACTGATGTGGACAACACACCAGTCGTATTTAAACCTTCTTTAACACTTAGCGATTCTGGAAGTTCTTTGAAAATCGAGCACTTTGTTAAGCCTGACGACGACGATTTCATTTCTACTCCTATAGCCGGTGATATCTCTTCACAAATCCCTCCGACTCAAAACACTGTGAACGATCAAAGTGATTCAAATAATAATGATTCACGAAAGTCATTTCGCTTAACCTCAAAACCAAATTCAAAGTTAAAAAAGAAAAATCGTCAAGGAGCTAGCGAAAGTATCATAGATGATAGTACATTAGCAGAATCTCCCCCAGTAGGTGGTTATGCTCCTGCTGCTCCAAGAAAAAACGCAGAATTCCATTCTTTATTCAGAAGTGTTCCAGAGGATGATTACCTTATAAATGGTACTTGGGAATTTTTTTTTTGAAAATTTTTTTTTTTTTTTTTTTTGAATTTGGTTAATTATCATTCATGTATATTATATAGATTATGGGTGCGCTCTGCAGAAAGAAATTCTTGTCCAGGGCCGATTATATGTTTCTGCAAAGCATGTTTGTTTCTACGCGAATATTTTTGGATGGGTCACTATTGTATGTACATTAAGAAATTTTTATATTGTTATCGTTATTGTTATTTTGATACTTAATTCCATTACTAATTTTCGTTGCAGCTGGTAATCGCGTTCTCGGATATCTTATCAATTGAGAAAAAGATGACCGCATTTGTTATTCCTAATGCTGTTCTAATTTCTACATTGCACGCTAAAGTAAGTTTTGACATTATCAGTTGCGTTCGTGTGATACGGGCCTTTACTAATCATCGTATCATATCACGTTAGCATTTCTTTACATCATTCCTTTCAAGAGATCCTGCCTTCGAATTGATGTATACGATGTGGAAGCAGACCCATCCGGCTCTCGCCTTGACAGAATCTGAAAATTCCACGAGTCGTAAAGACTCGGATGCTTCAGAAACATCAGAGAATAATAATTCTATAACTAGTGACGATGAAGGTATGCTAAGTTGAATGATTTTTTTTTTTTCGATGACATAATAAAAATGGATAATGGCAAAGATCGCTTTTGGGAATGGGTGATCACCGTACAATTAGATCTTGAACTATTTTAACATATCATTACCATAACTGTATATGCAGTAAAGTCTATATCATCACAAGGGGTGATTCTTAAAAATTTTGCTTTACCAAAATTAACACTTGATCCGATGAGATTAATGCGTGGACCTACTTCGTCTTCGGACGATGATAATACGTTAAATCAAGAAAAATTGGATAGTGATATTCAATCCTTACCCCTTTCATTACAAAGTCGTGTTTTTGATAATTCTAGCGTGGCCAAAGAACAAAGGAAACGTCGCTCTAGATCAAAGTCTGATGTTGGGTTACAATTGCCTGATACTAATGGTTCCGATTCTAAACATTCAGAAAAAATTCGCTCATCCTCCCGTAACCAATCTCGACATACAGCAAGCAATACCGTTAAGAGACGTCGACCTACTCAGTGTGCTTGTTTAAAAAAGGGTCAACATTATGATAATGTTTCATTGGATACAAAACTTAACGGTAGTGTTGAAAAAATTTTTAACTTACTTTTCGTCAATGATTTGGTTAAAAATTACATTAGAGAAGAAGATAAGTGTACAGGTATGACGAAGCTTTTTAATTTTAATTTTATTTTTTGATGTTAAATTATTAAACATTTCGTAATCTTTTAAAAAGATATTGAGTTTGAAGAATGGAAAATTGAAGACAATATATGGACCAGATCGCAGAGTTATACAAAACCATTGAATAATCCCATAGGTAACGAAATTTAATATGCGAATTATCAATGCGTTACTTATTTTCAATACTATTAAAATAATGAAATATTTAAAAAATCTTATTATTGTTTTATTAGGTCCCAAGAGTACTAAATGTTTCATTAAAGATGAATGTTCACATTTTGATGATTATATTACGAATGTATCCACCGCTACGACACCTGATGTTCCATCTGGGAACAATTTTTGTGTAAAGACTAGAACATGTATCATGTGTGCAGGCACTAATGAATCTAGAATAATCGTGACTTGTGCTATAGAATGGTCAAAGTCGAGCTGGCTGAAAGGTAGCGATAAAATAAATAAGTCACACTTATTCATGATTCATAAAAGCTATTTAAAATTACTAACGTACCGATAAAATAACAGGAGCGATTGAAAAGGCTTGCATTGAAGGACAACGAACGCATTGGCAGAACATTTCACAAGTTGCTAGGAAATATATTGCAGCTCATCTCTCAGATTTTATAGATCAATTAGGAACTACAGTTCAAGATGATGAAGCTATCGATTCTGAAGTTGCGAGTGAAAAGGCAACGCCGCTAAAGAGAACGCACACTCGTACACGAACATCACCTACGGCGGAAGAATTAGATTCACGGGAAACTGAGCCAGTGACATTGCAACAACATGTGATAGAAATTTTAAATATAATGACCTCAATTATAACTTCATTGATTCAAATTATCACAATACCCTCTAAAAATATAATAATAATATTTATACTATTTATGCTAGTAGTTAGTAATTTTAACAATTGGTTAACGCTTCGAGACATTGGACATAGGCTTGACGGTTTAGATAGTAGTCAATATCGTTTCGGATACAGCGGGAGAAGTGGTGATTTCTTATATGAACCTCGTAAACGTCATGGAAACATGCCATTATTTGATGAGCGTATTGAAAATGAAGACGACACACTTTGGAATTGGTTACGAGAAAGATCAAACATGTATGAAGAAATCGACAGAAAGGAAAGTTCATTTTACACATCAAAATCAGAACCTATCTCCTCTAAGGTTCATTCGACTTCACCACGTGATAGTAGTAGTAGTTCACAACCAAGACCAATATCTTCACAGGGTCTATATGAACAAATGGAAAATTTGCGTCAGTTGATACAAACAGCTGAGGAACATGCAAAAAAATTGGTGGACGTTGCCGAATTTGAAAGTGCTCATTATTATAAAGATTCTAAAGATAAGCGGAACGGGGGCAACATTATGAAATGAATAATCAGTCTTAACTGTTTTATATCTTTTTGTTCTTAAATTATTATCTATATAAGTTTAGTAATTGTAGTGTGAATAATTTTCTATTACAATCTTTAAACCTAAGGTTGTTTGTAGCATAAAAAAAAAAAAAACTTTTAGCATTCTTCATATAAACAATTTTATTATTATTTATTGGTTAATCTACCTTTTTCCTTGAACACAAATAATTAGAATAATTATTATAAATGAAATTACAACGTGATTAATCGAAACAAATTTTTTTAATAAATATTTTAAGATGATTTAACCAATGATAATCTACAAACATTGTTGGTTTAGTTAATGGAAACTAAATAACAATAAAAATTTTAAAGTCTATAGAAATTTGTATACAAAAACTTGATTCATCAAAAACAAAAATGCATATTTCTAAATGGAATCGTTACAAAAATATAATTATCATGTTAGGATGTATACTATTAAAAAATGTTGGATGTTTAAAGATGAACAGTAACAAGTGTAACTAAAAAAAATATTAAAAGATCAAATAATTCACGCGTACCTTAATTGTCTAATCATAACTTGTAGAAGTTAAAAATACAAACTATTTCTGGAAATTTAACCTATAATTATTATATTTAAGGTATGTAATTTTTTTTTAAAGAATTAAAAATTACACTAAAAAGAAAAATAAATAAGCTGGAAAATGCACCTTTTTTTTAAACCTAATCCAGAATAGTATAAGAACCCTTCGCTGTTTAAAGGTTAAAGGTATAAAATTCATGAGGAAAGTAATGAGATAAATTTTTTTATTCGTGAAAAATTGATTTACTAAAGGCTTAAAAAAAAATTAAAAGGTAAAAATTTAAATTATATTTAATGTCTTATTATATAATCTTTAAATAACAACGATTAGTTACCTAAAATTGCCTCGTAATTTTATCTTAGAATTTTGAAAATTCATTATTCACTTTTACATACATCCATGCGTCAGAGTCCAATTCGCGTACTCTTTGTCGTAAAACTGTTAAGTAAAATCTCAAACGTTCTTTTTTTTTTTATTTGGAAAATTTTCAAAAAATTCGTCAAATAACTTTATTATTAAAAATTGGAACTACAATTTTTTAATCATTTTACCATTTGATTGGTCTTGTTGTACCATACTCTGAGGTATATTTTCATCATTCATTTCATTTTCATTATTAGGTTCATCAAGTGTTACTGGAACTCCTTCCACATCATTACTCAGATCATCTGCACCATCTAAATTAAGAAATTCAGCAATAAACGCATCTAAGCAATGAATATCATTCAATTTGTAAGTCTATTTATATTTATAAAATGTTTTAACAAAATGATTTATATCTTTGAAAATTTCATGAGAAAAACCTGCGGAATTCATTTCATTGTCATGATTATCATCTTCTGCTACAGGGGGAACTATATGTGAAACCATTCGCATTCGCATTGCAGAAGATAGTTCAGGCGTTGTTCTTGGCGAACCTTCTTGAGTACTGCTTTCAGGAGAATTCGTTGAACTATCAAATATCACATTATGCCTTGGTATGTCGTTATCACTATCATCACTTTCGTGAGAAGCAAAAATGTTTTGAAATTGGTTTGCAACTCGGGGATCACTTGGTGCTGGTGGCTGTATAGGAACTTGCCGCCAATATGTTCCTGAAGGATGATTCATAAAACGATTATTATTAGGATTATTTGACATTATTTTATAATATTACAAATACTAAAAAAAAAAAAAAAAATAAAAAAAAAAAAAACTTTTTTTGAAAAAGATCGAGAAAATTAAATAAACCTGATAAATACACTATATATATTTTATTATTTGATAAGGCGCAGTAATCATGTTGATCTAACGAAAATTTGACAAGTTGTCAAACCTTATTTTATTTTAGATTGTGTATTTAGTTGAAAATAGCTCCCATTATATTATTTTTTTTTAAAGTTCCATTTAACCAAATCTGAAAAGATGAGTTTCTTTAATAATAAAACTGGATCAGGTGGGTCGTCTTGGGGAAATATGTTAAAACAAGCCGTGAATAATTTTGAGAGCAAACTTGATAAGGCTCTTGACATTGGTGAAGGTAGATTACTTTAACAATTGTTTTTTATTTATCATTTATTAGACACTGAATTAAAAGGCCTTTACTTTAGATAATTCTTATCAGGGGGAGGTCTACGTGGACCCAATAACTGGGTTTGTTACCACCGTTGATCCTCCTGCAGTTTCTGAACGTCCGAAATCACCAAATGTCTCAACTAAAAAACCGTCGGCTTCTCCAACACCAACGCCAAATAAACCATCACCTAAATTGGGTCCACGATCCAATTCAAGTGATCTTTTTGGTTCAATGTTGGGAAATATTTCAACTTCCAGCCTTCAGAATTCTCTTTCGAGTCGTCAAGTTCAAAATCTCTCACAATCCTTAAAATCTAAAAGTAGCGATTTACTTGCCAATATTCGTACTTCACGCGGATCAAATGATATCGATAGAAATATATCGACACATGCGTCATCACAAACTGGATCACCTCAATCCACATTACAAGAATCTCGTCGTTCTTCACAAAGAACGTCATTGGATAGTGATTTGGATATCCTTGATGATTCATCTAGGAAGAATTCAACGTTACCTATCGAAGTAAATACAACAGACATTGCGGGCGAGGATGATCATTCTGCCTCTGTTTCAAATGAGGAGCGATATAATGACAATAATGAAAATAATGAAAAAGTAGACATACCCTCCATAAATAGTAATTTAAATGTTTCTGTTTCATCAAGTACAAATCAAATTGAGAATGGAAATGTGTATAATAGACGTTCAACAGATAGTTTAATACTTGAAAATCATGTAAGTAGCAAATGTGAAACAGATGGGGTTAAGGAATCTGATACAGATTCTAAAGTTGATGAAAGTAGTTTGAAAGGCGACGATATAGAATTTCATGAAAAGACCTCAAATGAAGATTCTCAAGGGATTGATATGATAGACGGTAAAGCATCATTGATTGGTGAAAATTCAGTAGAGTTTCAACTGATTATTGAACAGAGAGAACGTCAGCTTATGAATGCCACAGAGCAAAATGCATTATTAAATGATACGGTAGAAAAGCTTAGATTACAATTACAAGAATTGGAAGAAAACAAGGTTGAAGAATCAAAAATTACAAAAAATCATTTAGAAGGTTTGGAAAATCAATTAAAAACAGCAAATAAGGTTGATATACTTTATATATATAATCTTTATTTATTGAACGTGGTTTAAGTCGGATCGATTTACATTATTAATTTATTTAGGAATTGGATATGTTTAGACAACAAGAAGCGAGTAAAGAGGATTCATCTATTCAAAGTATACTTGAATTGCAGAGAAAATTGTTATTAGAGAAAGATGATCAAATTTCTGGGCTTTTATCTGAAGGTAAATCATTTTTTTAATCATTAATTATAATTTAATTCTCAATAAAGTATCGACAAATTTTTCTCATTATCAAGGCAAAAAATTATCAAAGAATGAACTTGAATATCGCACAAGTTTAAAAAAATATCGAGCAAAAGATATTGAACAGGAAAATCGATTGATCGATCTTCAAAAGAAATATGATAAGGCCGCCTCAGAGATAACCGAATTGTCAGCTAAATTAAAACAAATGCAAGAAATTGAAAAAAAGAATAGTTATAACTTGAAGAGGATTGAAAGTGAACAAGAAAAGAAGATACAGCAGAATTTGAAATTAGAGATTGATATTGCTGTAGCAAAAGAAGAGCGAGATAAATTACAAGTATGCTTATGGATTTTTCAAGTGATTTTTGTTCCATATATATAAATTTTTTTTAAATATTTTTAAAGCGTCTTTTAGATCGGACCAATGCGGAACTCAAAGAAGCACTTGATATCAATGCTACTTCATCTTCACAAGTACAAGCTGCAGCTTTGGAAAAGGAGGTAGAGATATATATAATTTTTACTTTGAAATGATTTAAGAATAATCTTTTTTTTTTTTTTTATGTTTATAAATTCAATTTCTTTTTCACAGATTCAAATTAATGAAAGACTTCATCATGAGCTAGAACAGTTACGCACCGAATCAGAGAATACAGAAAATGCTTTGCGGTTAGAGGTGTGTATGCCTCACAATACGAAGTATTATATAAACCCTACGTCTCATAATCTTATGTAAGGTTATGAGCCCGTCAAAAAAATTACGTATATGTAGCACTTCGATATTTTACGACGCGTAATAATTCAAAAGTTTACGACACGTAATATTTCGAAAGTATACGATGCATAATATGACGATCATCTCTTGTATTTTATCCAACAAGTTCTTAATAAATTTTATTATATCACAGATTCGCGAGTTGAGAACAACACTTGCACGAATCGAAGAGCAGGCTGGTTTAAGAGAAGATAATTTACGTCATGAAGTGTTGGTATGATTGTAAACCTTAATTTAATATGTTCGTTTTAATTTATATGCTGAGAATGGTTAACATTTATAGGTTTTACAACAACGAATGCAATTTGCTGAGGCAGCAGCACAAGATGTAACATCAGGAGAATGGGAGATAGAGCGTATTCAGATACTTCGACGCATAGAAGACGTACAAACACAACATGCACTGTCTGTGAAGAATTGGGAAAGGATTGAAAATAGGTAAAAAATCGTTATTAAAATATGCAAAATATAATGACTTTCTAAACACAAGTATATTCCTTTCTTTAAGTCTTTCTAAGCAACTTACTGAAATGGAAACGGAGCGAGATCGGTTTGCTGGAAAATATGAAACTTTAAATAATCAGCTTATAGAAATGGTAATTTATTTGTTAAACTTAAAATTTTTTATTATCCGCAACTCACATTGGTATATTTTTTTTTTTTACGTTTGTCATAAAATTAAGTCATCAACTATGGGACAACAAGAACTTCAGTTGATAATTGAACGCAATCAAAACAAACAATTAAACGAGGAAATCACTTCATTGCGTGCACGAATTCCAAATTTAGAAGCCAAAATTGAGAATTTGGTTTTAGAACTTGAATCCTACAAAACAACTCATAAAATAGCATTGCAAGAAGCAGAAGAACAGTATCGTCGTATGTTACGACAAACATTGGAAGAAAAACAGGAGGAATGGGAACAGAAAGTGCGTTCTGAGCAAGAGAACAAACTTATTAAAGAACACGAAAAAGAAAAGCGTATAGCTAAATTAGATTCATCGAGATCATCCGAGGAAACAAATTTGGGATCATTGAGATCAAGAAGTGAGACAAATTTAGGGAGAAATTATGATGGAGGAATATTATCACCTGTAATGTATAGTCCAACATCAAGTACAAGATTAAGTATTGATGGCGGAAGTAATATTATAAGCAGTGTTATGATGATTGAAAAATTAAATTCTTCCGTAAGACATTTGGAAGGACAAGTTAGTACTCTACAAGGTCAATTACACATGACTACAAAAAATAGAGGTAGGTATGGGGTCGTATTGCTTTTCCTAATAACGTGCGCACATATCAAAATTGGTTGTTTAGAATATTTATTAATAACTGGTTTGTATTATATTAGATGAATTAGCAGATGAATTAGTTAAATTAACCGTTCAAATGGAAGATATGTAAGTAAATTGTTATTATTATTATTATATTTCAAAATTAATGATCAACAAATATTTGATTATAATTTAGTTCTATAAAGACAAGAAGGCTTCCAGAGCTGGAGCTACAATTCCATGAATTGAACGAAAGGTACGTCCAAATATCATGTGCTTATTATCTAAAGTTTATATTTAACAATTTATTCCTCTTTTTATTTAGATATCTAATTACATTAGAATTACTTGGAGAAAAGACAGAGCAAGTGGAAGAATTACAAGCAGATATTGAGGATATGAAAGATGCATATCGTAATCAAATAACAGATCTGGCTGCAGAGCTTGAAAAATATAAAATTTCTCGTTAATTTAACTACTTTTATTAATATTTTCACATAGAAAGATATATAATATATCCATCACATAGAAGTTAATGTTTAAAAGTTATCACTAGAACGAATAATAATGTAATATGGTTGGAAAGATTGAAAGGAATCTTTTTATTATTTACCATTTTATTATGTTATATATTAATATATATTGTAATTTAATTTTTGAAGACTATTATATTTAATTGACCGTATTCTTTATGAATATGAATGTTTCCTATATCAATAACTACCATCGATACAATTACAACCGAAAACTTGTCAGAAGTTCGACCCCGAATAAAACATTACCTTTATCATTTTGAAAATATAACTGCAAACATGAAACGCGAAAATCAAAAAAAAAAAATGAATTTTCAAGATAGTTTGGCCTAGACATTTTATTTTGATTACGTAAAACAATTCTTTAATATCATTATGGTCATACCTTTGAACTGAATGATACAATAATGCAAAAATAGAAACTATATGCACAATAATCTTGCACAGATATGATTTCTATACTAAAAAACTTTGTTTATTGAAGGCCATTTGAAGGTGATCAAAAGAGACTTATATATATGCATTATATATATTCGACACTTTTCCTTGTGAAATCATATTGAAATCGTAACTTTGGCTGAAATTGTATTTAATTTTGGCTGAAATGAAACCGCTATTATAATTTTGGCTGAAATCAACAGAGATCACGCGATCGATGTCTTTTTGACGGTTTACGCTGGGTAGTTACTATATCGGGTTAATTCCCCTAAACTATTACTCTAAAAATGGAACAATTTCACATTGTAGATCAAGTCCTGTGAATAACGCTATAAAAAAATTTTTTTTTTTAATATCGTATTTTCTTATACATCTTTTTTTTTATCATGTTTACATCTATTGCTTATCAACAAGAAGCTGAAAACATTCCAGTTCTCTCCCTGTAAAAAATAGTCACTCCAGCATTTTTTTTTCAACAGTTATTGATAGAGAAAAGAAAACACATCACAACACTCGTTGCGTTGCTCAGGAACTCCTAAACGATAAAAAAAGTAAGTATAGTGGGATGAAATTTTAGACGGATGTGGGGTGCGTCTACCACCAGGCTTTATGGAATTTTCCAGTTACAGTTTCTCGATAAAGATCCGTTGACTCTGAAATGAGGATCGACCATGCAACTTCTTTACTCTTAAATGAAACTTATAACTTTACCGGTACTCGATATCAATCTTTGCCTTA